CCTCCACATCCAGGCGCACTCTCGCTCACGCTGCTCGCCTGCGTCTCCGCGCCTGCTATGCTGCCTCAACCGCACTGCTCCTCCACATCCAGGCGCACTCTCGCTCACGCTGCTCGCCTTTTCTAGCGCGAAGGCTGCATCTCACTTCGAAGAGGTCTTGGAGATCAAAAAAAGGCTTTATCAGGCATACAAAACCAAAAAGAATGCATTTTTGGGAAAAAGATTACACTACAATTCTTCATGCATTATCTCATCACTGTCGCTATCTTGACTCTCAGGAACCTCATCATCTAAAAGTTCCTCTCCAGATAGCGAAAAGTAGAACTGAGTGTAGAAGCGATCCGAATCGAAGATGTTTTTGTACTCTTTTTCTTCTCGAATACGTTGAAGTGACTTCTTCCCTGGGCCTCTTGTTGCACCGCGGAAGTCGGCACGTAGATGGTGCTCTGATCTCCATTTTGTGGGATAGTCAAGGAATTCGTATGGTGACAGCTTGTCCGGTCCACTTATAGCAATCCTATAAGAACTTCGTGGACTACGAACTTGACAGAGTACAAACGTACCTCAAATAATTGTTCATGTTCTTCATAATGGTACGGCTTCTTCGTGGCTCTCTGATAACTGAGTAAATAGAGAATCCCCTCTCTACATCTGCAGTGCTGATAGGAATGGAAACAATTTTGGCCAGCAAGGACATCAAATTTGGACGATTAGTAATATAAGCGGTCTGTGATCGCATGTGCTTGCGCAAAACTGGCAAGAAATACTGCATCTTCGCTGACGCTTTTGTTAACTCTGCTCGCAATTCTGCTGGTAAGTGTCTGCCGAGCTGATCAGAAAGTTGCTGAAATTCGTCTTCGATCTTGCCCACAGGGTAATTGAAAAATTCCGACACTCTACGACGATTTTCTTCCTCCTCTATGTCATAGTTCATGAGAGCGGAAGGAGAAAAATATGCTAATTGGTAAAGAATATGATCCCGATCGTACATTAAGCGCGACCTCAGAGCCTCAG